CGCATTTCGTCAACGGCAAGGCCATGTTGCATTGATCTGAACAATCAGATCGCTGAGTATGTTAATTGCGCCCGAGAACATACGAAAATAACGTATTCAAGTCCAATCAATCAGGTTAGGTTCCCTATATGTGTAAGCCGATGACCATCACAAGGAAGTGAGGAAAGGGAAAAAGATAGAAAGGTTATCGACCACAATGTAGTAACCAATCGGTTGGCTGAACACCTGCAAGGTAATTGGCATGAAAAGAATACAAAATAAAAGTCATGTCATAATCTCGAAATAAGCGACCGATAGACTACGGAAAAAAAGTCCTTACGTTACTTGAAAAGTAGTAGAAAAGTTCTGAACGAACGAAAAGGAGAACGATAGAAAGCATTACTAGAAGTTATGAGAGAACGAAAGGGAGAGCAATAGAAAGCAGAATAAAAGTTATGAGCGAACGGAAGGGAGAACGATAAAAAGCAGAAGAAAAGTTATGAGTGAACGAAGAGGAGAACGATACGAAGTAGAATAAAAATGATCGGCGAACGAAAGGGAGAACTGTAGAAAGCAGAGTAAAAGTTATAGACGAATCAAAGGGACAACGATAGAAAGTAGAATCAAAGTTATGAACGAACGAAAGGAGAACGATAGAAAGCAGAATAAACGCCATGAAAAGAGATGAAAAGATAGGAGAGAATATGTACAGTTATATCAGCGAACCCTAAATGATCGAATGTGCACAGTTTTTGAAGTGTTCACTATATCCATGTACATATATACATATATGTACATATATATATATGCATATATAAATATACATATATAAATATGCATATATATATATACATATGCATATATATATATACATGTATATACATATATACATATATATCCCTCTATACGACTTGCTAGAAAAGAAAAGAGACAATTGAGTAAAATAATTTCGGGTATGAAAGCAGATAAAAAATGAAAATATCTACCTAATCTTTGACATTTATCGTTAAATGTTGTAAACGTAATAATATACTTTCACATTTTAATGATGGACATAAAAATAAATAATTATTATTATAGAAGTAAATTTGAAACCAAACTTGAAACTCTGTGTAATAACAAAGTAATCATAAATATTTATGTTTTGAAATTTGACGATATTGCATTTGTAATTTTCTTAGATTTCTTGTTTTTTTTTTTTTTTTTTTTTTTTTTTTTTTTTTTTTTTTTATTTTTTTTTTTTTTTTTTTTTTTTTTTTTTTTTTTTTTTTTTTTTTTTGTTTTTTTTTTTTTTTTGTTTTTTTTTTTTTTTTTTTTTTTTTTTTTTTTTTTTTTTTTTTTTTTTATTTTTTTTTTCTTTTTTTTTTTTTTTTTTTTTTTTTTTTTTTTTTTTTTTTTTTTTTTTGCTTATT